ATTCTTCTGCGAGATTGGAGCGGTACCTGCAGGTACAGAGCGGTGGTTGTGGTTGGGGCAGGGGGGAGTTGGGTGAGGGTTGGTGGGTGGGTGGTCAGTGCAATCATACACACGCCATGGTAGGGCGGTGCTTCCAGGTAAGTAGGTTTGGGGAGCGGTAGTGAGAGTACCAAAGCTTGGACGACAGCTCCTTGGTGCTTTTGAAGCTTGAGGAGACGATGACCAATGCACATGGCTCATACCCATTCCATTCCTTGCGATTCCCTCTTCCTTGCTCTCTTACCTCTCCATTGCCCCTCTCCATTGCTCCTCCCCATTGCGCTTTCCTCTTTTCTCCCTCCTCCTCCCCAGAGTTCTGACGACAACCCATTTGTCATCCCAGAGCTAGAGGAGACCATGACCAGTGCACGTGGCTAGAGGACCCCAATGCACATGGGTGGGTCATGCCCCCGCCTTTACCCTCTACCCTCTCCCCTCTCCCCTCGCCTTCCCCCTTCACCAGAGTTCTGACGACAACCCATTTGTCATCCCAGAGCTAGAGGAGACGATGACTCGCCAAGTGCAAGGAGTCAACTGGCAGGTGCGTTGTTGTGTTGTGAGGCACGTGGGGAAGATTTGATTGGATTTGATCGCGTCTTGTGAGCATCATTGTTTTGCTCTCAGGTAGACGGTCCCCAACTATTTCCTTACGCACTCGCTTCCTCCTTCAGAACTCCCTCCCAGTTTCTATCTTCCTCGCCCTAGAAATCACTCCTACTGCCGTCTCCCTCCCCCTGCCTCCCTCCCTCAATTTCCCCAGGTGGTGAACGCAACCACACCAGTCAACGACTTCCACGTGCTGAGGCGGCAGGCAGTTAGTCAGGCAGGCAGGCAAACAGTTTTGAACCTTCTCTCCCTCTCTCCCTCCCCCACACCTTCCCGCCCCGACCCCCCCACCCCCAGGTGGTGAACGCAACGACCCCAGCCAACTACTTCCACGTGTTGAGGCGGCAGATCCATCGGGACTTCCGCAAGCCGCTCATCGTCATGTCTCCCAAGAGCCTGCTGCGCCACCCGCGCTGCAAGTCGCCTCTGGACGAGTTCAACGACCGCCAGGGCACTCCCGGGTTTGAGAAGCGTGGCACGCGGTTCAAGCGGCTGATTATGGATCCGAATGAGCACGGAGAGAGGGAGGAGGGCATTCGCCGCGTCGTGTTCTGCTCCGGCAAGGTGTGCATGAGAGATGAGGAACGTTTCCCTTGTTTTTATTTTTTTTTCTTTCGTTTTTTTTTTTCCAATGATTGATGTGTGAATTGAAGCAATACAGTTGACTTGTGAGCCACCTCCAAATTCTTGTTTACCGGAAGCTGGAGGAGAGGGAGCGATTGGGAGCTGTGTCATCGACCTGCTTGGAAAGAAAACTTGTATCACCTTTATTTATACACTCAATTATTACTGTTCCAATGCAGGTATATTACGAGCTGGAGGAGGAGAGGGAGCGGCTGGGAGCTGATGACGTGGCGCTGGTGAGGGTGGAGCAGATCTGCCCGTTCCCCTTCGACCTCGTGCAGCGCGAAGTGCAGCGCTACAGCAGTGAGTGCCTCTCTTATACCTGCCCCGCAATGCCCTTCTAGCATACTTAACATTGGCAAGCACGGGTTTATTGGTCTCACTGGAGGGTTAAATTCTCAAAATCGTCTTCCTTTTGCTTTCCCATGGTCTGTTGTTACCCTCCGTGCAGAGGCTGAGGTGGTGTGGACACAGGAGGAGCCAATGAACATGGGGGCATACTCCTATGTGGCACCTCGTCTCGCCACTGTGCTGCGCAGTGTCAACCGGGGCAGCTTTGAGGATGTCAAGTACGTCGGGCGGCCTCCTTCGGCTTCAACTGCCACTGGTTTTGCGTCCACGCATGTGAAGGAGCAAAAGGAGCTTGCGAGCAAGAGCTTTCAGAAGGAGGAGATCCGCTTGTTTCCCTAGGTACGGTAAATTACTCTCTTCTTGTATAGTCGACTGGAGGTTTGACGCTTGTTAGCCCTGTTAACATTCACTTTCTTGCGGGAGCAGAAGCCACTTTGTCACTGAAAGTGTGCCACTTTAGTTGGCTGTTTGTGGATGATGTAGTGAGCTCAGAAATAAGTGGTTAGATTAGAAACAATGAGACCCGGTCCCTCTAAACAGAATTGCTCTTAACACGAATGCTTGACTAGCTTGTGAAACGACCCCTGTGGAGACTTTTGTTCGCAGTATTGCAACAGGCGTTACTGGTCGGCGGTGGAAGCAGTTGCTGAGGAGATGGAAGTGCTATCTATTGACTCCGCGGTTACCGTTTGCGCCAAAACCAGGAAATGCAATTGGGCTGCGCGAAACCCGCTGCCGAATTCTTAGAACCCGAGCCGCTGTATTCTACACCCGAACCGCCTTCTTGCCAGGCAATTCCACATTTTCCGTGAATCCGGCATTGACTTGACATTGGCGATTCTTCTATCACTGTCTCTGTTAGCAAATTGCGCCTCATCTTTTGCACACCAGAGCACAGCAGCACCACAACGCAGCACAGCACAGCACAACAGCACAGCACAGCATAGCACCACACCGCACCATGGTTTAGCACAGCAAGGCAGCACACCACAGGTCCGCAGCACAGCACAGCACCACGCACAAACAGCACCCCCTGGCATCCATCCAGCCCAAGTGAGTTGCAACCGCCCCTCCTCGCCCTACCTTGATCGCCAACCGTGGGAGCAGGGATCATTGTCCCTGGACGCGCATAGCCCTTCGATTCATTGGTCGGCAAAGTCCACCGACGAAGCAATAGAGGGTCGATCTGGAACAGGTCGCGCGAACCCGTCTGCCCGCAGTCCGCTTTAGCCAGGGAGAGAGAGCCAACATCAAGGTGCTGCCGTGCCAAGTGCAATCGCCATTGCAGAACCGCTTCATTTGCGGCTAATGGAAGTTCCATTTGATTGCTTTACAGATTTTCTTCGCTTCACAACTTTTCTTCGCTTCACAAGTTTTGTTCAGCGTGTCGAGTCCGACTGGGCGGTGCGAGTTCACAAAGTGATTGCGAGTACTACCACTAGCCTCAATCAGCTCTAGATTTCTCAAACAGTAGTTGCGTCTCGTGTGTTTTGTTCTCGAGGCTCTAGACACATAACAGCCGACTCCATAACACACGTGATTCCTCATTGTCAGACCGCGTCGGGATCGCCGGTCCACTCACCCGGTGGGAAAACCATTTACTAGTAGCTGCTTGTTACCCTGTCAGAGAGGCTCTTACAGCTCCGGGCACTGTTACTAACAGGCACTCCGAGCTACTAGCTCCGTCCACTGCTACTAACAGGCGCTCCGGGCACTGTTAGCTCAACGCTGAGGGCATCAACGGGCTCGGCCTCTCCGTCAGTCCGCAATGTGACTCTCCGTCATTCCTCGCTCCCCTCAGCCGTACATTCCTCCCATCACATGGCATCGGGCGGCCAGGATTTCTCTTCAGCTGGCGCCACATCATCACCACCATCATCAGAGCCGCCTGCGAGCTTCGCAGCATCGCTCCGAAGCTCGCCGCGTTGCGATGCGTCCCGGAACACTGCTCTCAAACGCATCGCGTCACTCCAGAATTCGCCTGCAGGGAAACGACTGGAGGCCCAGCAAAAAGCGACTTCTGTGCCGTGGAAGCGACTGGAAACGCTAGCTGTAGCTGTGGCCGAGGATGCGGATGCGGCTGTAGCTGTGACTGTGACTGTGGGCGGATCGCGCATTTGCGGGGTTCCGCCTGCGGATGGTTTGCGCGAAGGGTCCCCTTATGTGGATGCGCCACCTGTGCCAGAGAACGGATCGCGCCGCTGCGGAGATTTGCTGCTGGCGGACCTTGAATATCCGCGTCTGCGCCTACGCCTGCGCGAACCGCCCACTGGCGGGTGCCCGTCTGCGGACACCGCCACAGGTTCGCATTTCCGCTGCCCCTGGACCCGAAGGCGGCGCCGCCCAGCGATTGTTCTCAAAAGCGGCCGCTGCGTGGCAAGAAGCGTCGAAACCGCAACGACGGCGAGTGAAGGTGCCTCGAGAGTCACCGGCAAGCTGGCGGAAATGGCGGCGGCGATGGTGGCGGCATCCCCGGTCGAGCGAGTCGAGCGCGCCGAGCGCGAGGTCGCCACTGCAGCGTCGCCAGATTTCCTAGAGGTGTTCACGCCTTCTCAAAAGCGCGCTGAGCGCGTTGCGCACGAGGAGGCCACTGCAGCGTCGCCGGCTTCCCTGAGAAAGGCGACGCCTCCGCAGGCTCCGCTGCATCCGCGCTGCTCCCCTTCCCCATCCCTCTCCTCCTCGCCCCCCCTTTCCCCATCGCCTTCCCCTTCCGCCGCCTCTTCTTCCCCCGCCGCGTCGTCCGCGTCCGCACTACCACCGCACCCGCAATCCCCCTCTCCGTCGTCGTCCTCTTCCCCATCCACCTACCCCTCAGCTTCCCCGCAATCGTCCTGCCCTTCAGCCGCTTCCCCGCAATCGTCCTGCCCTTCCGCTTCCCCGCGGGCACTCGAGTTACCCATCAGCCTACGCAGCCCATCCGCGCACCGTTCCCCGTCCGCGCTCCCTTCGCCTAGCTCGTGCAACCCAAGCAATTCGGAACTGTTGTCAAGTCCCTGTGTAGTACCCGTTATCAACAGCACCGCTGAAACGGCAACTGCTGCTACTGCTACTGCTACTGTTGTTGTTGCTGCTGCTGCTGCTACCTGCCAGACTTTGATTGATGCCATTACCGCTACTGTTCCCTTTGGTCCGTCGGCTCAGCCAATCGCATCCGTTCCGTCCGTTCAGCCAATCACATCCGTTCAGCAAATCTCATCCGTTCAGCCAATCGCATCCGTTCCGTCCGTTCATCCAATCACATCCGTTCAGCAAATCTCATCCGTTCAGCCAATCGCATCATTGCTATCCGCGCAACCATCCCCACAAGTCGTACCCAAACCGCCCTCCGCGTACGCGCCTTCCGCAGGCGCCTGTTCCGCGCCCCATTTCCCCGCGCCCCCTCACCTCCCCTCCTCTGGCTCAGCCTCAAAGTACCGTTTCACGCGAAAGCTCCGGGTTCGAATCCCGGCGGTGGCATGTTGCAATTTGGATCCCGTTGATATTGACGCCCTGTGGGAGGAACTGGCGTTGGGGGAGGGAGAGGCGGAAGAGGTAGGAAACGATAGGGGGGAAGGGGAGAAGGGAAAAAGAGGGAAAGAAATGCGTTGCCATTCAAATCGAAAGAAAAGAGAAAGAGAGTTTTTATTGGAGTCCGGTGGAAAGAGGCGGGGGAGGGGGGAGGTGGAGGAGGGAGAGAGGGTGACGTGGGGCCAACAGAAGGAACACAGAGGTTTACGGACTGAAGGGGAGAAAGAGGGGAGAGAGGGGAGGGTATGGCGGAAGGCAAGGTCATGGAACCCAAGGGAGTGGACGAGGGGGTACGCGCGGGAAAGCGAGGATAGTGGAGGGAAGGAGGCCCGTATGGAAACAGTGGGGAGTGAGGGGACTGGGGAACTCAAGGGTTCGGCTGCACCTTGCAATGTCGGAAGAACGAGGTTGAGCGAGCAGCAGCAAGAGGAGGGGTTGAGAGGTGGAGAGGGGAGAGTGTGGCGGAAGGCAAGGTCATGGAACCCAAGGGAGTGGACGAGGGGATCCGTGTGGGGGAGAGAGGAGGATGACGTGGGGAAGGGGGCCTGCGCGGAGGCTATGGGGGAAATGGATACTGCTGCTGGACCTTGCAGTGTCCAAATAGGTGCAATCGGCGGGAGCAACGAGCACCCAGCAGATCGTGGCGCGACCAGCAGAAACTGCTTCAACTTCCCCAGGCTGCCCAGCCCAAGGGCGTTCAGTCCAAGAGTGTTCGGTTCGGGAATCCGGAGTCCAACTCTTGAACGAGCACCGGCAGCAGCAGCATCGGCAGCAGCACCACCACTAGCAGCACCACCACCAGCAACACCACCACTAGCAGCAGCAGCACCAGCAGCACCACCACTCACACTTACAGCACCAGCAGCAGCAGCAGCAGCAGCACCACCACCACCACCACCGCTCGCACCGACACTCTCGTCGTCTTCTGCTGCTCTTGGCTTTCGAGAGTGGAAGAGCCCTCGCAGAGGTGCTTCTGAGATTGGTTGCAATCCTGCTGCTGCAAGTGATCCCCTTGCTGTAGCCAAGAACGCAATCGCTGCGGGCGGCAATGTGGGTGGCAATGTGGGCGGCGATGTGGGCGGCGATGTGGGCAGCGATATGAGCGGCGACAGGGCCCCTGTGCATCATAATGGTGATGATGATGCTGACTCTGATAATGACGATTGTTCTTTCGCTCCTCTGGTTGGTGAGGAAGGCAGCAGGCTCGTACCTATAAAGAGTCACCCCTTAGCGAGGACAAGAAGCACCCCTGATCTTGACCTGGCTCGTGTGCAATCAGCGCAAGCAGAGCAAGCAGATAGCAACAATTTCCTTCCAGCCATTCCAATTCACCTTCGCCGCACCCGCAGCAACGTTCATGTGAGAAGAGCCAGCCCCGGTCCTGGCGGCAGCAGCAGCAGCAGCAGCAGCAGCAGAACCAGAGTCAGCAGCAACATTAGTGACACTTATCGTGACAAGCAAAGCAGCACCAGCACCTGCAAGCGAACCAGCAGCAGCATCAACACCACCAGCATTACCAGCAGCACGCACAGTAGCCCGCGAACCAACAGGGAGATCATGGATGGTCGTAGCAGCACTGGCGGTGGTGACAGCCGGATTCCCACCCACCTCCAAAGCACCCGCCGCTGCATTCACGTCAGGAGCAGCAGCACCAGCAGCGCATACAGGAGTATTATCGACAGCAGCACTCGCACCGCCACCACCACTACCACTGCCACTACCATTGCCGCTACCACTGCCGCTGCCACCACCACCCGCGTCACCACTACCACTGGCAACCAAACTTTTGCCCAGACCCAAAGGACCCAAAGAGGTATTCATATCAGCAGCGGAAGCAACAGTACCGGTTACCTGAGCTCTGCCGCTGCTACTGGCATCAGGAATTCAAATCACCTACGAAGGACAAGAAGCGGCATTCATATCAGCAGCGGCAGAAGCAGCAACAGAACCGGTTCTGCTGCTGGCAGTGACATGAGGGATTTAGGCCACTTGCGAAGGACAAGAAGCGGGATTCTTATAAGCAGCACTTGTAGCGCTCCCGCCACAGCCGCTGCTCCTGCCACAGCCGTTGCTCCTGCTACAGCTGTTGCTCCTACTGCTGTTACCCTTCCTGTTACAACTGCAGTTCCTGCAGCAACAGTATGCTTTGTGCTCTCGTTTGAGGAACGGCGTTCCATGCAGCAGAAGCAGCAGCAGCAACCGAAACAACCACAGAAACAGCAGCAGCATCAGCAGCAGGTGGAGGACGAGGAAAAGAGCTTCTCATGTGCGCCTTTGGGACGCCCAGGGGTCTGGGGGAGCCCTCACAATGACACTGAGAAAGCAGGGAAGCCAGACGAGTATGTTTGTGAGAATTCTCAGAAATCGCTTGGAAATGGTGACACTGGGGCTACTGGTGAGGAGAGGCTTGGTGGGAGTGGGAAGAGTGGGCAAGACGTGCGGCAATGTGCAGCGACCTTCGATGAGAGGGTGAAGAGTGGGCATAGTGTGCGACTTGATTCCGCATCTCCAGCAGGTAGGTCTGCCTTGTTTTCAGGGCTTGCGAGACTTAAGGAGCTAAGAAATGCGGCCAATCAGTGGGGCAGAAAGGCTGAAAGGCATGTTACAAAGGGAGGCAAGATAGAGGAGGAGGAGGAGGAGGAGGAGGGTGATGATGATGGGGGGAGTGGGTTCAGAGGAGGTGGGGACCAAAGCAGCAGGTTTAGGTTCAAGTGGTTCTTTTGTCTCGTTAAGTTGAAGACCTGGATTCTGAAGCTAGGCTGGGTATGAAACGTCTCAGGATTCCTCAAGCTGGGATCTAGAAATGTACCTTAGCTTCTCCCTCTTTTTGTACAGCTAACACATTTGACTTTATAAATATTTATTTTGACTGCTCATTAGGGTAGTATATCTGACAAAATCAATACCGTACTTATTTATATCCAACATAAAGCAGTGACACACCACTAGTCAACTACAGTTGGTCACTCACGATACCAATCACTCAGTTGTTTCTTTGCCATCGTGCTGGAAATGGGAGGGCAGCAGTATGTTTGCATGTGATGGTTGCTTTGCTACGGTACTATTTTTTAGGTATCACAACACACTCCTCAGACTGCCGTGTCACAATCACACCAACCTGTCTCAAGCACACGCTAGTCACACCCCTTCTCGTCTACACCTCTAGCACCCCTTATTGCCATGCCCCTTACCACATCACCTCACCTCACTTTCTGAGGAACCTACAATCTCATTTCTGAGAACTCAAAATTGACTCCACCCCCTTGTCTTCCACGCCCCAATCAACCCCTTCGATTGCCGTGCCCCTCACCAGCTTCCACCCCCAACTCCTCTCCTGTCTCCCCAACTCGCTGCTTTTTCAGGCGCCTCCATGCTGGTACGTACGGTAAGAATTTCCTCAACACCACCACTGATCCACAAGACCGTAAGCCGGCAAGCTGAAGGTCAATCAACTTCATCGATCGCTGGTCCCCTTACCACTGCACCTCGCTCGCTAGCTTTCGCCCCCAACCCCTCTCCTCTCTCCTTAACTTGCTGCTTTCCATCTGCCGTACTCTCTCCCCAGCTCGCTGCTTTTCGAGGTGCCTCCAAGCTTGTAAGCAGTTTTATAATACCATCACTGACACACAAGAAAGTAAGCTGGCTGGCAAGCAGGAAAGCTGACCCACAGCCTTTGACCACACTGCATGTTAAACCGTCTCTCTCCTTCTCGTTCGGGAGTAAGCCTTCCCATACCTCCCTGCTTCCTCCTCCTCTTTCCCTCCAGCCTTCTCCTTCTCTTTCCCTCCTGCCTTCTCCTTCTCTTTCCCTCCTGCCTTCTCCTTCCCTTTTCCTCCTGCCTTCTCCTTCTCATTCCCTCCTGCCTTATCTTTCTCTTTCCCTCCTGCCTTCTCCTTCTCTTTCCCTCCTGCCTTCTCCTTCCCTTTTCCTCCTGCCTTCTCCTTCTCATTCCCTCCTGCCTTATCTTTCTCTTTCCCTCCTGCCTTCTCCTTCTCCTTCCCTCCTGCCTTCTCCTTCCCTTTTCCTCCTGCCTTCTCCTTCTCATTCCCTCCTGCCTTATCTTTCTCTTTTCCTCCTGCCTTCTCCTTCTCTTTCCCTCCTGCCTTCTCCTGCCCCTCTTCCACTCCTCCTCTTCCCTCTTTCTCCTTCTTTCTTGGCTGCTGCTGCTGCTGCTGCTTTCCCCGACGCGACTGGAGTGTCGACTCAACCGAAGCCACTTTGTGTCTGCCTCCACCCGTTTTCACCTTCCCAGTCCCACGCCCATCACCCACCTTCTTCCCACCAACGCTGCCTGCATCTTCCTCCTCCCCACTGCTCTCCTCCCCCTCCTCTTCTTCCTCCTCTCCCTCTTCTTCCTCCCCTCCCTCTTCTTCCTCCTCTTCCTCTTCTTCTTCCTCTTCCTCCTCATCCTCCTCGTTCTCTCTCCTCCCACCCCTGCTGTTTTCAAGCATGCCACGAGTCATCCTTCTCGCTCCTAGCACCACAAGGGCCGGTTGTTCTGGAGTCTTCTTCGTCTTTTGGGGCTGCTTCACTTGGGATGACTTTTGAGTCGACTCAAGAGTCACTCCTCTCGCTCCTAGCACCACAAGGGCTGGTTGTTCTGGGGTTTTTTACTCTTGGGCTCGCTTCTCCTGGGTCGGCCTTTTTCGGCTCACCTTCCCATCGGTCGGCCTTTCTTGGCTTGACACCGACCCACGAGTAACCTTCTTCCTCTCAGCACGCCCATTTCCACCCCTATCACTCTCACTGTCCCTCTCACTCTCGCTCTCACTCTCACTCTCCCTCTCACTCTCACTGCCACGACTCTCCTCGCTATCATCAAGTCTAACGGCTTCCCCTCGCCGTCTCCCCTTCTCACTCACCCTCCCTTTCCCTTTCCCATTCGCCTTCCCTTTCCCTTTGACATTCCCATTTCCTTTTCCCTTCTTCTCGCCTTTCCCTGCCTCTCGTCCCACCAACTTAACCTCTTGCTCCTTCCCGCCTCCCTGTCCCCCAACGCTTTTCCCTCCCCGACCCTCCATCCTCTTCCCTCTCAACGAAACGGTACCACCACCTTCTGAACTCTCTTCCTCCTCACTCTTTTCTTCCTCCTCACTCTCTTCCTCCTCCTCCTCCTCACTCCCTTCTTCCTCCTCCTCTTCTTCTTCCTCTTCCTCCTCCTCACAATCCTTCTTCCTCCTCTTCATAGGCGCTTTCTTCCTTCCCTTGATGCTCCTCCCGACACGAAATTCGATCCTTCCGTTGTTAACCCATCCTTCCACCCTCCATCCGTCCTCACTGTCCCTATCACTCTCATCCTCCTCCTCCTCCTCCTCCTCCTCCTCCTCCTCCTCCTCCTCCTCCTCCTCCTCCTCCTCCTCCTCCTCCTCCTCCTCCTCCTCCTCCTCCTCCTCCTCCTCCTCCTCCTCCTCTTCCTCTTCCATCTCTGCACCTTTTCTCTTCCGCAACCGCCCAGCCCTTGTCGCATCAACAGCACCACCACTCCGGCCCTCCCCTTCAGTGAGCAGCTTCCCTTTGCCTTTCCTCCCAGTTGACTTTTGAGTCGACTCAAAAGTCAACCCATCAACAGCACCACCACTCCAGCCCTTCCCTTTCGTGAGCAGCTTCCCCTTGCTTTTCTTCCCACGACTTCCTCTCCTATCCTCCTCACTCTCCTCACTCTCCTCCTCGCTCTCTTCCTCTTCCCCCTCGCCCCCCTCTTCCTCTTCTTCCTCCCTTTCTTCTTCCTCCTCATCTTCTTCCTCCTCCTCGTCCTCCTCTTTTTCCCTGCGCAGTTTCTTAGCACGGGCATTACTGGCAGCACCACCAACTCCTCCTTTCACTTTAGAAGCCATCCTTTTGTTGCTTCTCCTCCCACGCACTTTCCTTTCCTCCTCACTATCCTCTTCACTCTCCTCCTCTTCTTCGTCCTCATCCTCTCCCTCCTCCTCATCTTCTTCCTCCCTTTCCTTCTCTTCCTCCTCACTCACCTCCCCCTTCTTCCGCGATTTTCCAGTTAGGGTTTCAATAGCAGACCTGCCTCTGCCTTTTCCTTTACTAATCACCCTCCCCTTGCTGCCCTTTCCACGAACTTTCCTTTCATCCGCACTGTCGTCCTCTTCCTCCTCGTCCTCCTCTCCCTCTTCATCCTCCTCTCCTTCCTCCTCGTCCTCCCCCCCATCTCCCTCTTCTTCCCCACTACGTCTCCGCTCCCCAATGTCCTCCTCCTCCTCTCCCTCCTCTTCTTCGTCCTCCTCTCCCTCCTCTTCTTCCTCCTCCTCTCTCTCCTCCTCTTCTTCCTCATCCTCCACATCCTCCCCTCTCCCACGCTTCCTACCCCTTCGCCTCCAACCCTCTCCATCACTTTCGCCCTTCCCACCCTTCCCGCCCATCCCACCCTTCCCACCCTTTCCACCCTTTCCCCCCATCCCATTCCCCCCCTTCCGCTGCCTGCACTCCGTGCAGTACCAAGCAGCCTTAGCAGCCATTCGCCTCAGCCCCGCACACACAGGGTGAAACGCCTTACCGCACTGCACCGCCGCACACCGCACCATCTCCCCTGCTCCACCCTCCCCTCCTCCTTGCCCCACTGCCTCTCCACACGAAGCACAGAGGGACGGAGGCAGCAGCTTAGGGGAAGCAGCTCGCAAAGCAGCAGAAGCAGCGGCGGCAGTAGCAGCAGGGGAAAGAGACGGATTTCCCTTGTTCCCATTTGAAGCAGTGTGGCGGCCAGGTACCTTCCCCTTACCCTTCCCATTCGCATTCCCATTCCCATTCCCCTTCGCCTTTGCCTCACCACCGCTACCTCTCGCCCTCAGCTTCCTGCCTCCAACCGTCGTGAAACCCTGGTCTTCCTCCTCTTCTTCTCCTTGCTCCCCCAACTTCCCTGAGTCCTCCTCTTCCTCCTCCTCCCCTTTCATATCCTCATCTTCCTCCTCCTCGTCTTCAGATTTCTCGGTGTTTCTCTTGCCTCTGCCCCCCTGCTTTCTCCTACTCTCCCTTGATTTCATCCCACTCCCTCCAATTTTCCTCTTCCCCTGCTTCTTCCTTCCACCACTACCACCTTTGCTCGTAGTTCCTTTCTCCACCTCCTCTTCCTCCTCATCCTCACTTTCCCCCTTCTCCTCCTCACTCCCTTCACTCCCCTCTTCCACCTCTTCTGCACCTCTCTTTTCCCCCTCCTCACTCTCGTCACTCCCATCATCTGATACCTCCTCGTCCTCTCCTCTCCCCTCTCCCTTATCTCCACCATGCTTTTCCGTCTGAAGCTTGGAAGCATCAAGGGCATTGCATCGTTCCCTGTGGCGGGAAAGAGAGGAAAGAGAAAGGGCAAAGGCATGAGAAGTAAGGGAAACAAGTGTGAGCACTTCCGCATCCTCCTCGCCCTCTTCCTCCTCGCCCTCTTCCTCCTCGCCCTCTTCCTCCTCGCCCTCTTCCTCCTCGCCCTCTTCCTCCTTGTCCTCTTCCTCCTTGTCCTCTTCCTCCTTGTCCTCTTCCTCCTCGTCCTCTTCCTCCTCGTCCTCTTCCTCCTCGTCCTCTTCCTCCTCGTCCTCTTCCTCCTCGTCCTCTTCCTCCTCGTCCTCTTCCTCCTCGTCCTCTTCCTCCTTTTCCTCTTCCCTCCTCTCACCATCCTTCCCTGTGTGAAGCTTGGAGGCACCAAGGGCAATGGTGGTTGAACTGGGAAGGAGAAAAGGCGAGAAAGGAAGGAATAAGGAGAACATGGTCGACAAAACTGGAAAAGACAGCTAGCACAAGAAAAACACACCTGCGAGATGCAGCGAGGTATGCAAGAGTGGTGAGAGCACCCATCACCTCCCTCCTCCACACGCGTCCCACTCCTGAGTATGCTCACTCCAAACAGTGCAGTGAAAGGTACACCTGAGACTTTCTCTTGAGTCGAATCAAAAGTCAGCCACGCGTCTCCCTCCTCCACATGCGCCTCACTCCTGAGTATGCTCACTCCAAACAGTGCAACGAAAGGCACACCTGAGACTTTCTCAAAACTGACTCCAACACACCTGAAGGAGGCAGCGAGGTACGTGAGAGTGGCGAGCGTGGCGAGCGTGCGAGCGTGCGAGCACCCATCACCTCCCTCCGCCACACGCGCCTCACTTTGCTGGTACAAGGGAAGGATACGTGAGGGAAGCAGCTAGTGCAAGGGGAACGCACCTGAAGGAGGCAGCGAGGTACGTGAGAGTGGCGAGCGTGCGAGCGTGCGAGCGCCCATGACCTCCCTCCGCCACGCGCGCCGCACTTGCCTCGACCGCCACACGCAGCGCGATGCAGACGGGCCCTTCAGCCCCTCCTCCTCCTCCTCCTCTTGTTGCGCCGCAAAGGCCAGGGTAAGGGAAGCATACCTGAGAGAAGCAGCTAGTGCAACGGGGTAAAACGCACCTGAGGGAGGCAGTGAGGTAAGTTAGGGTGGCGAGAGTGCGAGCGCCCATCACCTCCCTCCTCCACACGCGCCGCACTCGCCTCGACCGCCACGGGCAGCGAGAAGCAGACGGGCCCATTAGCCCCTCCTCCTCCTCATGCTCCTCCGCCTCACTCACTGTCGCAGCATCATCCTCCTCCTCCTCTTCCTCCTCCTCCACCTCCTCTTCCTCCTCCCCTTCCTCGTCTGCTCCCTGGCCACCCTTCCCTGCTTTCTCAGCATCCCTCCCCCTTCTCGAACCTCCCGCTCCTTCAACCCTCTCCTCTCCCTCACTCCCTCCCTCCTCCTTCTCCCCTCTCCCCCCCCTCTCGCCTCTCGCCTCCCCGAGAGCACCGCCACACAGCTTGAAAGCCGCCACCTCAGCGCACAGCAGCAGGCGACGAAGCGCTGCCACCTGGCGCGCCAGCTGGACGCGCTCACTGCTGACTTCCTTGAATGGTTTGACTCCTCCTGCCTCTCCTCCTGGCTCTGCTCCTGCCTTTGCTCCTGGCTTTTCTTCTCCTCCCTTTTCGCCTCCTTCCTTTCCTCCTTTTGCCTTTCCTCCTCCGATCTTTCCTTCTCCTGCCTCTGCTGCTGCTTCTGCTGGTGGTGGTTCAGCTGTTGCAGTATCCGCAGCAGCAGCAGCAGCAGCAGTACCAGCAGCAGCAGGAGCACGAGAGTCAAGACGATTTTTGCCACCCATCAAGACAGCTAAACCAGAGGAGCTGTGAAGGCCCCCCAATTTGATTTGATCCGATTTAGGAGGGGCAACGGCAGTGGCTTTGCTGACTAGAGCGCCCCAAACACCCCAACTGGGAGCATATGTCGCAGCTTTAGCTGTAGCCGTGGCTGCCTTGCTTCTTGTGCCAGCAGCAGCACCACCAGCAGCAGCACCAGCAGCAGCAGCAGCAGCAGCAGGAGAAACACTACCAGCAGCAGTAGTAGGAGCTGGTACAAGCACAGAAGCAGCAGCAGCCGTGGCTGCAGCAGGGGGAGGAACGGCCTTTAGCCTCTCCAATACCGTTCTCAACCCCTCCAATTGCTCCCGGAGCTTCTCTCCTAGCAAGCTCGCCTCGCCCTTCCACCTCCCTTCTTCCCGTTTCTGCCCCACCTCTCTCTCCGCCTCCACCCCATCATACCCAGACCCTTTTTCCTCCACTTCTTTTTTCTCTTCCCCTCTCCTCTTCTCGCCATCCTCCTCACTATCCCTTTCCTCCTCCACCTCTACCTCCTCCTCCTTCTCCTCCCCTTTCCCGCCCTCCCCTTCCCCTCCTCCCCCTCCTCCACCCTTCCCCTTCTCCCTCCCCCCCACACCAGGCCCCCTTTTCTTCATCCCCGCTATAAGCCTCCCCTTCACCTTCTCAAGTGCTGCTTTCAGTGCCGCCTCTCGTATCCCCTTTTCATTCAGACTCGCTATAAGCTCCTCTATATCCTCGCGGTAAGTGTAGCAGAACCAGCGAGAACAACCGGCCCACCCCGTCCCCACCTCACCTCCCACCCCTCCTCTCTCACTTCCTCCCTCGCCTCGTCCTCCTCCGCTCCCTCCTCCTCGCCACACCTCCCCGTCTCCCACCATCCCTCCTCTTTCCTCCACCCACACCACCTTCGGCTCCCCACTGAGCAACCAGTACCGGTTATAGTGACTATCCAATCCCAGGGGCACTGTTCGGACCACCAGACGAGCCATTTCCTTTTCATATGCCTCCTCTCGCTTCTTCCACTCCTCCTCCCGCTTTCTCTCCTGTGCCATGCGCTGAGGGAAAGGGAAGGGAGCGAAAGTGAGAAGCAGGGGCTTGTGAAAAAGGAGCACTTTTGTTTGTATGCGCCTGAAGGATCCTCCTGCTGCAAGGAGGGAGGTGACTCTTGAGTCGACTCAACAGTCACCTGAAGGATGCTCCTCCTGCAGCAAGCCCCCTACTCTTGAAGGACGTGGGGCTCCTACTCCATCGGACTTTGTGACTTTTGTTGAGTCGACTCAAAAGTCACCTTGTATGCACGCACCTGAGGGATGCTCCTGCAGCAACGTGATAAAAGGGAGTTCTTGAAACTTCTCAAAAACTCCCTTTTATCAAAAGTCACCCTGCCTGAAGCAACCCCCCTACTCTTCAAGGAATTGGGCCTCCTATCGGACTTTGCATGCACCTGAACGAAGGATCTTCCTGCAAGTTTTTGAGTCGACTAAAAAACAGGCTCAAAAACAGAGTTGACTAAAAGACTGAGGCGACTAAAAAACAGAGTCGACTAAAAAACAGAGTCGACTAAGAAACAGAGTCGACTAAAAAACAGAGTCGACTAAAAAACGGACATAGGGCTCCATCGGACTCTGTATGCACCTGAAGGAAGGATCCCCTGCAAGCCTCCTACTCTCCCCAATCCAATCCCACTCCCTCCCAGCATCACCCCTTCCCCTTCACCACCTTCTCACCTTTCTCTCCACCTCGGTCCGTGCTCTCTCCGCAGCTCGCTTCTCTGCCTCCTTGCGCCGAATGTACTCGCTCTTCAGCCTGCCAGCCATTGAGTTGCACAATTGAAGGGGGAACGATGAGCCGTGAGTTTTCCAAGGTGGCTCTCAAGACAATCGTTTCGCTCTCTGCTGCTCGCTTTTCTGCCTACCTCCTTACATCAAAGGCACTCCTTCGTCAGCCTGTCAACCTGGGAAGGTATCAATCAATCAACGATTGGGACTTCAAGACGTATCGGAAAATAAAAAGTACGTTTAGGTGGTGTTCCCTCGTTTACTTTGAAGACGTCTCGAAAGTCATCCTCCTTACACGCGGATTTTGAGATGTCTTGGAAAATGCATGTATAAATGCACCTGTTCTTTCTCGTTTACGATTCTTGAGGCACCTAAGACAAAAGCATTGTTAGACATCACAACCCCACCCCTCACATGCCCATCCCCATCCCTCACCTGCCCATGCGCTCCTCCTCCTGCCTCAGCTTTTCCTTATGAGCCAACACCGCCCGCCTGTCCATGGGATCACCCCTGTACTCCCTCACTTCCTCTGGCACTGCAAAGAGAAACTCCACCTCCTCGTCTGTATCACACTCTCCCTTCTAACTCCCTTTCTCACTCCCCTTCACGCTCCCCTTCTCCTTCTCTGTCTCCTTCTCCGCCTTCCCCTTTTCTTCTTTATTTTTCCCTTTCCCTTTGCCTCCTGCCTCCTTTCCCTCTTCCTCCTTCTCCCCCTTCCCCTTCCCCTTCCCCTGCTCCTTCTCCTCTTTCTCCTCCTTCTCCTTCTTCTCCTTCTCCTTCTCCCTCTTCTCCCGCCTCTCCCGCTCCACCCGCTGCTCCTCCTGCTGCTTCCGCACCTCCTCATTCCTCACCCGTCTCTCCTCCAACACCTCAACGCTCCGCTTCTTCCCCAGGTCGATCCCGGCCTCCATGTTCTCCCCAAGCATCTCACGCGTCTCCTCGGCGTCAAGCACGTCGGAGAGCAGCAGGGAGAGCAGGGAGAGGTGCAGCCCGGGGGGGAGGCTGAGGGCAGGCCAGCAGGAGAGAGCGTGGGCGACGGCGGCGAGGAGAGGAGGCATGGGGCTCGCTCGGATCAGGTACCTGGATTGGGTGTGTGGGATGGTGTGTGTGGGGGTGTGTGGGGGTGTGTGGGGGAGGAAGGGGGGGAGTAGAGGAGGTTTAGAAGAGAAATCAAGGCAGATCCTCCTCTCCTCCCTCAGCACCTCAACGCTCCGCTTCTTCCCCAGGTCGATCCCAGCCTCCATGTTCTCTGCGAGCATCTCCCGAGTCTCCTTGGAGTCAAGCACATCAGAGAGGAGCAGGGAGAGCACGCACACGTGCACCCGCGAGGGCAGGCCAGCAGGAGAGCGCGTGGGCGATGGCAGCGAGGAGAGGAGGCATGGGCCTCGCCCGGATCAGGTACCTGGATTGGTTGGGGGGGGTTGGGGGGGGTGCGTGAGGAGGAGGGAGAGCACGCAGAGGTGCACTCGGGGGGCACGGCGAGTGCGTGTCAGCAGGAGAGCGCGTAGGTGGCAGCAGAGAGCAGAGGAGGCGTAGGGCTGGCCCTGATCAGGAGAGGAGAAAAATCCTCTTCAACCCCCTAGCCCCCCCCTGCCCTCTCGCGTTCCCCCTTCCCCCCCCCTCCCCAATCCTCCCCACTTACAGAGCTCTCTGAGCAGCAAACCCTTCGTCAGACTCACCTGCGAATGATCTCCTGCCACGTGGCAGCATTCAGAAGCCTCTTCCACCGGTCCAGAACCTTCTGAGTCACGCCGATCCCCTCGTGCCCGCCCGGAACCTCCCCGCCGCCCAGACTCAACAACGCCCTGAACAGCCCAACGTGCAGGTCGGACAAAACCAGCCACCCGGGCTCTTCGTCCGCTTGTGCAAGCGCGCGAGCGAGCTTGCGTAGGGGTACGGGGGAGATCCTGGCGAAACGATTGAATTCCCTGTGGAACTGGAAAACCTGTAGCACGTCGCCCATAGACTGGGGTAGCAGGAGAGTGGGACCCTTAGAATGGGGTGGCAAGAGAGCAGGACCGTGGTTGACTTGCGTTGACCGGTTGGAAGGGACCAAGGCGCCGAGGACATCTGTACTGGGGAGGAAGCTTGTTGTTGGCACCAGGGTAATCTGTGTTGGGTTGTCCTGTGAATGGGGTGTGTCAAATAGGTGGGTGGCCTTGGGAAGACCAATCGCGGCGCGCCGTTTCGCCATGTCAGCATCAACCATCCGGTCGATGACATCATCAGAATCTGCATCTTCATCATCATCAGCATTGGAGCAATTCTCTTCTCCCTCACCCACTTCCCGCTTCTCCTTTCCCTCCTCATCCCCACCCTCCTCCTCCGTCACTCCTTTGTCCACCATCCCACCATCACCATCACCATCACCACCAAGAGCCGTGCCAACCTGTGCAGCTCTCTCAACCGCATCAGACCCACCAGCACCAGTGTGCATCCCCCACTGGCGCTGGGCCTTCCCCCACAGGGAGAGATCCAGAGGCCCATCCAGACCCAGGGCGATTTCAGCCAGCAGGGGAGTGGGGCGTGGGGGCCGTTGGGGGAGTGTGAGTGTGAGTGCGAGGGCGGGAGAGGGAGTATGAGGCTGAAGAAGAGATTGGAAGAGGAGGGCTCCTGAGGGTAGTGAAGCAGCAGCAGCAGTAGTGGCAGTGGCAGCGGCAGTGGTAGCATCTGGGGCAACAGTCGGGATAGCTGGTGTGGCACCAGTGGTAGCTGCTGCAGCAGCAGCACCATCAGCAGGAGTACCAGCAGCACCAGTAGCAGCAGCAGCGGCAGCAAGAGCAGCGGCTAGCTCTCGCCTCTCCTCCTCTTCCACCTCCAGGTCTTCAATCGGGTATTGCCGCTTGCGCTGCTGCTGCTCCCTCTCCCTCTCCCTCTGCTCCCTCTCCCTCTCCCTCTCCCACTGCTTCTGCAACTTGCGCTCCTGCATTGCATTCAGCAGGAACGCATGCCACAGGGCAGGCGACGAATGCATGAGAGGGGATTTCACTTCACAACAGGGCTTGTGAGCGATTTCAACAGGGATTCATGCCATGCCATGCCACAGGGCAAAAGTCACCTTTTGAGTCGACTCAAAAGATGAACCGACACCTTCCCATTCCCCTCTCAAGAAAAATGACACCAATGAGGATCATTATGGGATAAGAGCACGAGTGCAGCACTGTCTGCTGCTAATTTCCCTCTTCTGAATATAGCCTAAATCCCGGGCTTACCTCATCGGCCTTCCTCTGCTCCTCCTTCTGCTGCTGTTTTGCTTGGCTGGGTTTGGGTTTGGACACGGGACCATGGGGAAACAGGGGAATTCTTAGGCGAACAAAAACCGAGAACTAGCGCGAGAGCAGAAAACCGCGGGGAAAAGGAGACGAGGGTTTTCAGCGTTTCGGGACTTGAGACTTGAGATCCCTCGAAAGAAGAAAAAAAAGGGGGCTGGGAGAGAAAGGAGTGAGAGGGGTGTGCTGCTAACTATACGAAAGTAGTGAGCGTGAATGAGCCATGTAGTTAAATCGACTCAAAAAGTCAAATCTTAGGCAAGGTGAGGCGTCCTTTCTATCATGACACCGTGACACCCACCTTCGCCAGCAGACGGGACAAAGCAGAGCCTGCCCTCCTCCTTCCTTCCCTCCTTCCTTGTCTCCCTCCTTCTCTCCGCCTCCTGGAGTTGCTACAGGATGCGGCCCACTCTTCTCTGCTCCAACCTGCGACCCTTGGGCTTGTGGCTCTTGGCTTTTCTCTGTGGTGGGTTGTGACTCTGATAGCTGTGCCGCGGGCGGCAGCATGGCAGCAGGCAGGCACGGCAGGTGGAAGGCCCGAGGGCAGGAGGAGCACGAGAGCAGCAGGGGGACGTTGTCCTTGCTGGCCTTGCGCTTGCACACACTGCGGAGGAGAGGGGGGGCAGGAGGAAAGGGGGGGATGGGGGGGGAGGGGAACACGGGAGGAGCAGGGGAAGGATGAGGAGCATATGAACAGGGGGACGCTGTCCTTGCTGACCTTGCGCTTGCACACACTGCCGAGGTGGGGAGAGAGAGGGGGGCGGGCCACAGAAACATAGAATGAGCAGGGAAGAAGGAGGAGCACATGAGCAGGGGGGCGTTGTCCTTGTGCTCTGCGCTGGCGCTTGTGGGCGAAACAAAAAACACTTAGCAAAGTATTTACTGGCATTTCCCTGTGGTAGAAGCTCCCTCCTCCACTCCCTCCCCAACTAATCCTGCCGACTTGCTTGTGACTCAACGCAGTCAAAGCCACACGGAGACAGAGAAGGACATGACTCAAGGAGCGAAAGAAAAACACGTGCCGAAGCACTTACTGGCATTTCCCTGTGGGAGCAGCTCCCTCTCCCTCCTCTCCGCCTGTCGCCACCACTCCGTCTCCACCCTCCTCCTCCTTCCCCCGCTTCTGCTGCTTCTGCGCCCCTGCACCACCCTTTTCCACACCATTTCCAACCGAGGCCTTCCGTTTCTTCGACTCTCCTGCTCCATCTGCTCCTACCCCTCCCATCCGCCCCTCTCCACCACCATCCACCCCGCCTGCCTCTCCATCCTTGCTCCGTCCCTTCCCCTTGCCCTTCCCAGGACTTTTCCTGCTGGGACCGAAACCATACTTGGAGCGCAGGTCGCTAGAGACAGTCCACTCGTTGTCCTGTAGCAGGCTGCGAGAGGCAAAGCGGGTGAGCCATGCGCTTATCGGCTTCTTGCCTATGTGGTCGCTGCGAGCAGGGAGAGGGAGGAAATGAGAGAGGATGAGAGAACACCAGAGGTGGTGAGAGAGGGAGGTGAGGAGCTGAATCCATATTTAGAGCACAGGTCGCTAACAACGGTCCACTCGTTGTCCTGCAGCAGGCTGCGAGAGGCAAAGCGGGTGAGCCATGCGGTTATCGGCTTCTTGCCTATCCATTCGCTGCGAGCGAGGAGAGAGGAAAGAGGGTATCATGAGGAGAGGGGAGACCAGAGGGGGTGGGAGTTGAGGAGTGTGAGCCAATAGGTTGAAAGTGGAGGGGGTGGGAATGCCTTTAGTCAATCTAATGGAAACGGTTCGATTCAATCAACACATGCACACGCGTAGCTTCAACCACTAGTTCCATTATCTTTCACGAATCCCCTTGTGCTCACCTGCCTCTCTCGACTTGTGCGTCTTGAATCGCCGTTACAAGTGCACCCTTGCTCAGCTTGCCTGAAACATCAAGTCCACAAATCGTACCAAATCAGATCAACACATAGATTTTGCGGCGACTTAGAAACGTTAAGAGAGCATCCACACTCTGCTTGCCTGAAACATGAAGTCCTAGATCAGAGGAGAACGTTTTAGAGTCGATTCAGAAACGTGACAACTGCAACCTTACTCCATGTACCAGATACGTGTAAGAAAAAAACCAGAACCGACGAGATCACATCACATCAGATTGAGAACCAGATCGCATAGATCTCGAGTCACGTCAATACCAAGCTCACAATTATGTTGGCTCCTATCTGAGCACCTTTGGCCCGTGTGCCAAGACATAAAGCAGGCAAACAGAAACTTAGTGGAATAAAAACAGCACTGAGAAAATCAGCTTTGGGACCGGCTGGCTAACGTGCATTCGGAAGCCTCGTGTTACACCACCAGCCGCAGAAGATAAACGTACTCTGAGAAATCTCAGAACATGGCACGATCCGCAATGTATAAGCGTGTTCTAAGAGGTCTCAAATTATGTGATCAAGGAAATTTCACAAATTGAAACACCAGCCGCAGAGAAAACGAAATGCCTTACTTTTGTGCGATTTTTAAGGCGCAGCGAATTCGAAATGCCTCACTTTTGTGCACGATAGGGATGGCGATCTTGTGAAACCAGTCCGGCAGATCCCTGTAACCCGACTGCTTCAGCCGCCTCTTCTCGTCAACCGCTTCTGTCTCGCTATTGAGTGCCTCTTCATAAGTCAACCCGCTCTGACCCGTCTCGATACACGTCCATATACGCTGCTTATAACGTCGAATGGCGGAAAGATAGTCCCTGATCAGCACGTTGCGGGGAGCACGAAAGTGGGAAGGACGGAAGTGGTATTTTTGGAAGATTGTTTGGAAGGTCAAGCGTTGGGAATAAGTCAGCTTCTACCATTTTCTAGAACGGAAGGTATGAAGGATCACGGTATAAACTAAGAAATCAGAACCAGTTTTAAAGAGGATACGGTATCAAGGCATCCGGGAGCCAATCTTTGCCTCTCGTCCTTGTCAATGCGATTCTACTAAACAGACGGTCGCAGAACGAACGGGACGCAGCTACGTAGCTTTCGGCCGAAAACAGCGAATTCGGGTGCTCGAACTGAAATTAGGGTTTGCTCGGACATGCTCAGGCCAGGATCAGAGAAATCGGCGCATTGCTCACTCGTAATTGCGAAACGCTTCTCTCGTGAACCTGACGATATACGGCTGCTCGTTATCCTCCAAGTCCGCAGGTGGCTGGGCTAAGGGATGTAATTTTCCGCCTAGTAGCGGCATTGCGGGCACACTAAAACCCGAACATAGAAAACCACAACAAGAAGCGACGGAAGTGGGAAAAGAGAGAGATCAGGATGGAAAACGAGAAAGAACGAAAGATGGAAGGACGGGAGCAATATCAAGGCTGGCCCAGCGAGGTGTTTTCAAATTCGAACAAACACCAATCTTCGCGATTCGCAAAAGCGATCTCAAGTAGTGTTCATGGAAGTCTTTGCACATATGCCTTGCCTTTTCTTTCAAGGCTATGCCTTCACGGATCGAAAAAAGGGCCACCTCTTTTAGTGACCGGAGGGTCGTTTCTTTGTCAGAACAGGCTGTAATGCTGTAGAGGTGTGGATTTGTCCACCTGTCGCCCTTCGATTAGGCGCGCTCATTGAGGGAGTTTGTGGCTGTCAGGCATGAACTTCCGCCCTGGACTCCTGGCGTACCCGTTTGAAGATTTGTTCAAATTCCTTACAAGCCACTCAAGCTCATCTGAAAGAACCATGCAAGCATTTACCTGTTTCTCTCCAATCAGCCTGAAGAGTTTCGAAACTCCAATGTTATCCAGAATCTCAAGTCTGTTTGATCATCCCAAGGCTCCTCAGCTGTCGAGCACATTCGTCCACTTCTCAGTACGGTTCAGGAGCTTTCCACATCTATAGCGAGGTTCTGGTTTCTTACCGTTCTCAAACGCAGAGCACCGTACAAAGTCGCGGTGGACTCTCTTGTCTTGTCCGATCATTCCTCGATTCCACTCACCCCGCATAAGGCAATTCCTTGATCATCCCAAGGCTCCCTCGCACTCCGATTTCAGCTTCGCCATCACATGTTGAACGAGCGGAGTATATGACTCGGAAAATTTTCAGCAATCCCACGGAATCCACGAGCTCCTGTTGATACCCCTTAGAGGGAATGAAGACGTGGTAACACGTACAAATTCGCACTGACACCGTTCGCATGATCGGATGATTCGAAATTCATCCCGAGGTTAGTTCCTAGTCTCCTCTTCTCACTTCCCGCCAGGCTCCTCCTCAGTTTTGCCATGCCTCTTGTGCACATTTATTCTGATTAGAATGCGACTGGCAGTCACCATCAAGTAATCGCCGCTTCCATATCGCTGCTTCCCTCTCCCCGCTGCCGCTTCTCTCGCCTCAAATCCGCCAGGCTCCAGCCTCCACCTGGCTGTACCCCTCAACCCCTCCGATCGCCCTTCGCCACGCGACAGCTCAATGTCGCAGCTGCTGTCGCATCCCTCGTCGCAGAACCCATGGTCGTCGCTTCACCGTGCACGAGCCGTCGTCACGAGCAGAACCGATTGGTTGCTGGTCTTCGCCTTGCTCCTAGTCAACATCGCTCTCTCCCTCTACTTACCTCCCTATCAGCGCTTCATCCCGCCTGAAACCCTTCACTCTCCGCGGTACCCCGTGGTACTAGACAATTCAGGGGCAGCCTTTTTTACGGTACGTCCTAACACCATCGCCCTCTCTCACTCTACTTGCCTCCCCATGCAGACTGCTTCGCTGCTGGCTCCCGTCCTTGCGTTCCCTCGGCTGCTCCTCCTCTTTAAAAGCTTCCACTCTTTACTCTTTGCCCTGCCCCACTCCTTGTCCCCCCTGGGCTCGATTGCTGCAGATTGCCTCACTGTTGGTTCCCCTCCTTGCGTTCGCGCTGGTGCTGCTCCCTCAGCCGAACCTGCTCGACCTGCACATACGCGGTACAAGCAGCACCACTAGTCGCACAAATCCGTGCTCATACTCGGTACAAGCAGCACCCTTAGTCCCACGTACAGCTCACTAGTCGCACAATTCCCTCACCCTCTTCTCCATTGGCCCACTTTCTCTCACCATCACTCACACGTTTCTCCGTCCCATCTTCCCCCCATCATCTCCCGCACTGCAATGCAGGGCTGCTGGCAGCCATGCACGTGGCCTGGCTTGTCACCACTTTGCTCCAGTGCGCCATCAACCGTGGCAATGATATCAAGCGTTCCCTCGACCCCCGTGCCTCACAATCCCCCCATCATGCCCCACATTCCATTGCAGGGCTGGTGTCTGTCGTGCAGACCACGTGGCTCGCCGCCATTCTATTCCAGTGCACCATTGGCCGGCCCCTTCCTTGAATCAACACCCCCTTTCCCTCACCGCCCCCACATTGTCTCGCAGGGCTGCTCCCAGCCGTGCAGACCACGTGGCTCGCTGCCATTCTCCTCCAGTGCGCCATCTGCCGGCCTCAATGCATCCCTCTTGCCTCACCTTTCTCCCTTCCCTTTCCCCCCACCTCTCCCCACTCCAACCCCCACAATGACTCGCAGGGCTGCTGTCAGCAGTGCAGACCACCTGGCTCGCCGCCACTCTCCTCTAGTGCCTCCTTGGCCGGCCTCGCCCCAGGCTCCTCTCTTTCCCCCAACGCCCCTGTACATCCCCATACTGCACTGCAGGGCTGCTGTCAGCAGTGCAGACCACCTGGCTCGCCGCCACTCTCCTCTAGTGCACCGTCCCCTTGACTCACCTCCCCATATCCCCACACCGTCCCCTTGACTCACCTCCCCATATCCCCACACCGTCCCCTTGACTCACCTCCCCATATCCCCACACCGTCCCCTTGACTCACCTCCCCATATCCCCGCACCGTCCCCTTGACTCACCTCCCCATATTCCCACACCGTCCCCTTGACTCACCTCCCCATATCCCCGCACCGTCCCCTTGACTCACCTCCCCATATCCCCACACCGTCCCCTTGACTCACCTCCCCATATCCCCACACCGTCCCCTTGACTCACCTCCCCATATCCCCACACCGTCCCCTTGACTCACCTCCCCATATCCCCACACCGTCCCCTTGACTCACCTCCCCATATCCCCACACCGTCCCCTTGACTCACCTCCCCATATCCCCACACCGTCCCCTTGACTCACCTCCCCATATCCCCGCACCGTCCCCTTGACTCACCTCCCCATATCCCCGCACCGTCCCCTTGACTCACCTCCCCATATCCCCGCACCGTCCCCTTGACTCACCTCCCCATATCCCCGCACCGTCCCCTTGACTCACCTCCCCATATCCCCACACCGTCCCCTTGACTCACCTCCCCATATCCCCACACCGTCCCCTTGACTCACCTCCCCATATCCCCACACCGTCCCCTTGACTCACCTCCCCATATCCCCACACCGTCCCCTTGACTCACCTCCCCATATCCCCACACCGTCCCCTTGACTCACCTCCCCATATCCCCACACCGTCCCCAATCATCCCCTCACCTGTACCGCACTGCAGGGCTGGTCTATTCTGTGCAAATCACCTGGCTAGCGGCCACTCTCCTCCAGTGCGCCATCGGCCGGCCCCCCTTGTCACCTCCTTCTTTTCCCTCACCTTCTTCCATCGCCCTGCCATCATGCCCCGTACTGCACTGCAGGGCTGGGCTATTCTGTGCAAATCGCCTGGCTAGCGGCCACTCTCCTCCAGTGCGCCATCGGCCGGCCTCGCCCCAACTTCCTCTCAGCCTGCTTGCAAGGCAGCGAACCGGTGCGGCTTTCAATCCTCTCTGCATTGCCATTCTTATGTTCTATTGTCCTGTGGAGGCCCTTTCTGTCCTAATGGTCCGTAGAATGACTTTTGAGGCGCGTCAAAAGTCCATCCTCCCTGCATTGCCTGGCATATTATTCTATTCTCCTGAACTTCCTTCATCACTCAAACCCTGCAACTCTGCACTCGCATTATCACCTCCTCTACTTCTTCCCCCACCTCCCTTCTTCTGTTCGTTCTTTCCAGGTGGTCTCGCCATCAGCGGGTGTCACCTGTGTGTTACCGCCTGCCAACCTCTACTATTACCGCAAGAGCTTCCCCTCTGAACACGCAGCAGGTGAGCTCTCCCCAGCCCCCCCTCTCTTGCCTGTTCCCTCTACTTTCTCTGCTCCCCCATCCCCACGCCCTATCCTTCCCCACCCACACTCTCCCCCCCACTCCCTCCCCCTCCCCTTGCTCCCCTTGTGGCCGTCAGCTTCTCAGCTGCAGTCTTCCTCCTCCTCTTCCTCTCCCGGACCATCCAGCAATCGTTTCCCCACCAGCCCTCTCCGCAACCACACTCTGTCGTCCCTCAATTCTGTTGTCAATCCCACTCTGTTCCCCGGCACTCTCTTCAAACACACTCTACCTCCCTCTTTCCTTTCTTTCCTCCCCTTCCTCCCCTTCCTCCCCTTCCTCCCCTTCCTCCCCTTCCTCCCCTTCCTCCCCTTGCTCCCCTTGTTGCAGTCAGCTTCTCAGCTGCAGTCTTCCTCCTCCTCTTCCTCTCCCGGACCATCCAAAAGTCATTTCCCCAACGGCCCTCCCCCCCAGTTTCACCCAGCCAACACCGCTCCCGTCTCCATAATCGCTCACCCCAGCACCGTACCGAATCACATCAGGATTGCAATCAACCCCTCCAGCATCCCCATCACTCTCACCAGTCCCCAGAGCACCCAAATGCCAACGCAACATCCTCCCCTCACAATCTTTTGGTGATCGCTACACCCTCCCCTCACAACAACTTTACTGCCGCCCGCCTACTGGACTCTCTCCATGCAAGCCACCTCTGGCGCGTGCCAGCTGTCGCGTGGCCATTGGCCCTCGCGGCTGGTGCGGGGCTTGCTGACCTGGACACATACAGCAACGCCCCGGGAGACATTCTTGCTGGCGTTGCTCTAGGTGAGGCAGTCTGGTCTCACCAGAACGGGGCGTGGGTGGGTGTGGGTGAGTGGTGTGGGTGGTTGCATACAAGTGTGGCTTGTGGTATGCTGTTGGGTGCACGTACAGCAACGCGCCGTGAGACATTCTTGCTGGCGTTGCTCTAGGTGAGGTGCTCTGGTCTCACCTAGAGCTGGGCGTGGGTGGGTGTTGTGGGTGGGTGGCGTGGGTGGGTGTTGTGGGTGGGTGGCGTGGGTGGGTGTTGTGGGTGGGTGTTGTGGGTGTTGTGGGTGGGTGTTGTGGGTGGGTGGCAGGGTGTTTCACTAGGTGAGGCAGCAGTGCCGGGGCATGCATG